TGAGATCTCCCAGCCTACTCGGATCAGGTCAGGGTTGAGCATCCTCCACCCAGACCCTCCAAATTCCAGTAGGCGGGGGTCACACCCACCAACTGGCCCCCTGGCGCCATGTAATCCCATCAACGGCCAAGACTCAGAGACTATAAAACCCAGCTCCCGGAAGCGTGCGGCTGCAAATGCGGCCGCGCGACATCTTATTATCTCATTCCTACTTTGGACAAACTGGCAGGCTACCAAATGTAACCCACAGGGCAGAGTCTGGCAAACTCCCCGTGGTGCACCCAATATGCCGAATACCAGTAACAATGATGGGTCTCATTCTCCTAACTCTGAAACAGCCTTGAATATGGCACTTTTTAAAAAAATCTCAGGGCTAGGACGAAGGAGACGTTACTGGGGCCTGCTCGAGGCAATTGACGATTAACAGAATGGTCGTGATTGTGATCGTTTCTCCAAGGTTCCATTTCTCTGCAGAGCTTATGGGTATTAGTGTCACTGCTCTCTGTCTCTACAGCCCAACAGCACCCTAACTCCACAAGAGTTTTGTTCACTGTCAGCACTCAGGGCCCACAGCAAGTACTCACTTTTAAAAGATTAGACCACTAACCCCTCTACAGTTCATTGTTTATTTGTCAGTGTACAATCTTAATCTTCGTGTTCAGATGTGTTTGTATTCCTCAGCTTTGTTGGCTCTTCGCTCATCCTTCTTGGTGGACTCACTTGCCTGCAATGTCTCCCTACATTCCTTAGTAACCATGCACTTTAAGTCACATCTTCTCTTAGAGCAAGTCAATCTTTGTTTGTATAATTAAATTCCTTCCTCACGGTGAATATTTTGAGAGTTTGGTCACCGTATCAAGAGACTGAACTAGAGATTGGGGGGGGGGGGGGCGGGTAAGTGGTGGGAGTTCCAGTGGGGGAAGGAACCGTCCTCAGGGAGTTTACAATCTCATAGATCTTCAACTCCCACAAAGGAAAGCAAAGAGATCACACATAGTATCAGCTAAGTGAGATACAATGTTTATACCTGCCTCTTGGGCTAGAATCATTTCTAGAAAGGAGTAGAATCAGAATTAATCCCAGATTTAAAAAGAAACAAAAGGGTGGGGGGAAACTGTATCTGCAAAGGGTAACAATAAACACATGAATATAACTTCCATTTCCTCGAGTTTCCAGACACTACTGATGTGACCTGTAGGCTCTCTTCACAGACAAGGACTCTACTCTGTGCTTTCTTTATACCTGGCAGATCCAACTCCAAATGCAAATGTGTCTAGATAGATGAAAGGGTGGGGCCACTTTCCAAACATTTTTCTGACTCATCTTCAGGTCTTGACTGAAATATCATCTCCCCAGAGAGACATTTTCTAATCCCTTTATTCTGAAATAAATGTGCTGTGTTCTTCATCTGGGTAGATTTCTTCCCTAGCCCTTACTATAATTTATAATCATAATGTTCTCTGTGCCCTCGCATTTGTCTTTCTTACTAAATTATTAACAGCCTAGATGTGGGGTATTTGTATGATTTTTCCTAATTATACATGTACATAATACTAACACAGTGCTATGCACTAAATACGTTTCTGGGAACAGAATGAAAGAATAACTCAATCTACTTTGATTCATTTCAAAGAGTCAGAATCCATATTCAAAGCTAATTCCAGCACCCAAAGTAGCTTTATTTTAAACATTTACCAAAATCAAAATAGAAGTACCCACCTGTCAAGATTTGCACATATGTACATACACTTATAATTCTTATCAAAGGGGAAATTTGGAAGTTTTGCTTGCTTATGGAATTGATTTCAATGTGGGTCCAATCTTTCCTCTTTTAGAATAAATGAAAAGGATCCTCTTTGAGAATCTTTATCTATCAGAGTAAGGACTATGAAACCCGGGGTAGAATTGCAGTAAGGGAGGGATGATCACAGCTGACTCCTACTCATGGAGGGCACCATGATGCCAGACAGAAAAAGGAGACACGGGGGCCAGACTGATAGCACAGTAGGGAGGATAGTTGACTTGCACGTGGCTGACCCAGGTTCCATCTCTGACATTCCATATGATTCCTTGAGCGCCGCCAGGGGTGATTCCTGAGTGCTGAGCCAAGAATAAACCCTGCGCATCACTGGGTGTGGACCCTCCTCAATGGCCCCCACCAAAAAATTAGAAAATGGAGGCATAGCCTGTGGGTAGACAAGACCACATGACCACAGCTGTGCACGGTGAGTTGAACCTCAAGAGAGTTTCAGCTTCCTTCCTCCTAAATTCGGTAGTGGTGAGGGTAGTGGATAATCTGTGCTGTTCTGTTCTTTGTGGGAAAGTCAGATTTGATTTCTCTGAACGGCAGAGGGGGCTTCCATCTTCTTCTACCACCCGCTGAGGATTTCTCGATGAGAGAGACCACCCTGACAACAGACCAGCACTCCAGGTTCAAGGGTGCAGGAAAGCTCTGAGAACTGCAAGGGCACTTTCAAGATTCAATCTCAGGAAATAAAACTCAGTGCTTGGTTCCTAAAAGAATTCTGTGGTGAATTGGCAGCAGCGAGTGAGGTCTGCGATTTGCCTCTGCAAAGAAACAAATTGGGCGGGAATGAGTTCACTTGGATAACACTGCCTGGTGACTAGAAAACCAACATACAGAACAAGCTCGACTATCTCAGAAGTGACTCCCTTTGCTGGCTTTTATGATTAACAACAGATGGGATCAACTCTACCTCTCATATATCAAGAAAGAACACGTATCTTTCATTTCAGTAATGCTGTAGACACTCTTTCCATCTTGAAACATTGGGTCAGTCATGGGCTATAACAGCTGCATACATTTTTAAGAGCAAAATTAATTTACCCCTAAGCTTCTTGAGTCTTGAAGTCCAAACCAGCGGAAGACCTAGATTCATCACAGGCTGAGAGCTTGAACATAATTTTAAAGGGATCTTTACTTTGGAAAAAAGAACATAAAACTGGTATAAGGGAAGCACACTCTAGCTTGGCATCCCCTGGTTCTGTTTTTTCAACCACCTAATTACCTAATTGGATGAGATTGTTGCAAGTTATTTGGGGAGGGGGCAGATAATAGGTGGGAAAGGGATATCCCTGCACTGTCCATGAAACTAAGTGCCAAATCTTTGTGTCCCTGTAACTCTGTGACTTGTTTTTATTCGTTAGACGTCCTCAAGAGGTAAAACATGTCAGAGAAAATTGGTCAGGGTCAGCAGTAGCGTGTGGGATCACATGAGGTGGGCTCAGGGCTGGACAAAGAGCCCCCAGTTCTTTTCAGTTACTCTAATGGTTCACCTTGGGTGGGAAGGGGAAATCTAGCATCCCTGGTACTTCTCGGGGGCCCAACAGGGGAAAAAAATCTCAACTAGCCTCTATTGGCACTTTAAAAGTCATCCATGAGCCAAGTCTACATCTGGTAAGTGGAGTCACCCATACCTGGGGTGCGTTCCTCCACCGCCCAAAAGGGGAAACTGTCTTACTGTCTTACCTTACCTCCCTTTCCCATTCGAGCCCCCCACCCCCAAACACACACACAGATGCAGCTTCCCATGAACCCCTCGCCAGGAGCACGTGTTGCAGCCACCCCGTGTGCGGCAGGGCAGGGTCTGCGCAGCGCAGCCCGGACTGGGGTAAGGTGACTTATCTCTGCGCGGGTCTGCACGGCCCAGCGCTCCTGGACGCCCTCAAACACCGCCACTAACACCCCCTCCAGAACCAACGCCCGCCACCCAACGCCCCCACCCCACCCCCGTCAGGCGAAGCTCCCTAGGGATTTATTTTTCCTCCCATTTCAAATAAAGTCCGAATTCCGCCGCCAGCTGCTGCTCCTCTCGGCCACCTGGGCCGAGGAACCCCAGTTCCTGCGTCCCGGGGGGTGCAAGGGGGCGGGCTTCTGAGGCACAGGTGGGGTCCAGCCAGCTCTGCGGGGAGCCCTGCACCCCGACGCCGCCGGGATGGAAACGTGGACTAGCGGCGGTCTCCGAGCCACCGGGGCAACTCGAGCAAGCGCGCAACTCGCACCTTCTGGGGGTGCCTCCCACACAGCACCGTGCGCCCCCCAAATCAGGCTTCCAGGCAGGACCTTTCCGGACAGCAGCGGCCGGGCGTGGAGGACCGGTCCGGGGACGAAAGGGAGTCGGTGGTGGCCGGGAAAGGGCAAAGGGCTGTGGCCTCCTCCACCCGCACCCCGTGCGCTCCTCCTCCTTCGGGGGTGTGCGGGGGCGCGGGCCGGGCGGGCGTGGGAAGACGCTCCCGCGCGCCCCTCGGACTCACTTTTGCTCTCCTCGTCTCCCAGAGGGGGCTCAGTGAGACACCGAAGGGGGCGTCTCCGGGTCTCGCAGAAGCCCCCAGCCCACCCCACCCGGTCCCCTCCGGGCCAGGCGGGCGCCGCAGGGCCGCGCGCCCTCGAAGCCTCCTCCCCGATCGGAGCCCGGCGGGGCCTCCCCCGCGGCCGCCCCGCCCCGGTGCCGCGAGTTGGGGGGGTAGGGGGGGGGCCGGGCCGCGCTCGCCCCGGAGCCGCCCCCTCCCCTCCCCCCAGGCCGGGCGGGGGCGCGGGAGCCGCGGTGACGTCAAGGGGCGCGCGGTGGCAGCACCTCCCCGCGCGCTGGTTAAAAAGAAGAAGAAAAGAGGGAGCGAAACATGAGAGGCTGGGTGAGAAGCTGCAGCCGCCGGCAGAGGAGACCTCAGCATCCTCCCGAGCACCGCCGCCGCCGCCGCCGCCGCCGCTCCGGGTCCGGCTACCGTGTCACCTAAGCCAGCCCCGCGCCACCGCCAGGGCGTCCTCCGGGCCCGGCCGCGCCTCTGCTTCCTCGCTCGCTCGTCCGCTTCCAACTCCGCTCACCTCCCCGCGGCCACCGCCGCGCGCGCCCCGCAGCCCACTGACACGGGCCCCGCTGCAGACAGTGTCCCCAGCCCCCCACGCCAGTCCTGTCCCCCGCCCCGGACTTCCCTCCCCCCCCCCCCCCACCACCACCCCGAAAGCACCGGAGCCCACGCCCGGCCGCGGCTGCAAACTTGCAGCGCTCCCCAGCTCGGCGCCGCCGCCAACGCCTCCCCCTCTGCGTCCCCGAGGGTCCCGCCGGGGTTGCGCCCCGAGCTTCCCCCCACCCTAGCCCCGACCAAGTGAACCCCCAGCCCCGGCCCGCAACCCCCGGGAGCCCCGAGCCAGCCTTCCCGGACGACGATGCTGAAGATGCTGTCCTTCAAGCTGCTGCTGCTGGCCGTGGCGCTGGGCTTCTTCGAGGGAGATGCTAAGTTTGGGGAGCGAGGCGAGGCGAGCGCGGCGCGGAGGAGAAGGTGCCTGAACGGGAACCCCCCGAGGCGCCTGAAGAGGCGAGACCGGCGGCTCCTGTCCCAGCTGGAGGTGCTGAGCGGAGGGGAGGTGCTGTGCGGGGGCTTCTACCCGCGACTGTCCTGCTGCCCGCGGAGTGACAGCCCGGGGCTGGGCCGCCAGGATCAGCAGCAGGTAGGAGCTCGCCGGGTGGGGGGTGGCCCGCGGCCGCATGCGTGCGCGCGCCGGGGGTGCCCCGAGCCGGGTGAAAACTGGAGTAACTTTTTTTTTCCCCTTTCTTTTTCTTTCTTTCATTATTATTTTTTTTTCTATTGCTAATTTGGCGCCAGGACCGGCGTGATTTTCGGGTGATGGGGGTCCCGGGGGTGGGGTTGGGAGTGGAGTGCACCGATGTGCAAAGCTGCCTGTGCTGGAGAAGAAGGGATGGATGCCCGGGTGGTACCAGCGGCCCCCGGTCCCGGCCCCGGGCACAGATCCGAAAATTTGCATCGCGACTCGCGGCGGGTGTGGGATCGCAGCGGGCGCTGGCCGCGGTGAAACTGTAAATTAAGGTGGCTGTGGTTTCCGGTTTGTTTTTCTAGGGTGAAAAAAGATCGGAGCCGGGTGCTCCACGTGCTTGCTCCGGGAGAGGGTTGAGCTGTAAAGGATGTTGAAGCTTGCTTGGTTTATGAGCCCCAGCCCCGTGGGGGGCCGACAGCGGGGGTGTCTTGCGTTACAGTCGTTTACCAGAGCAAAGGGACTCCCGCTACTCGGGTTTAGAAACCCCCCCCCCCCAAACCGGCGACGGATTTTGCTGGGACGTTATTTCTCCGTGCAAACTGCGCTGGTTCTCGGTCTCCGAGATATTTTGTAACCTTCTGCAGCCAGGGTTTCGAGCGTACTTAGTTGTCTAGGAAGAACTTTTCTAGAAACTGGCTTTAGGGCTAATGACATTTACTTCTTCCTTGTGCGCGTCTAAACTGCTACGAAAAGTGTTGGTTGAATGGAAGGACGTGTTGAATTTGGGAGTTTGCAACATCTTTCTTGCCGGGGGATATACCAAGGCACGCTGTCTCCTCCAGTCCCGGCAAAGACTGGGGGTTCAGGTCATTAACAATCCTTGCACGTGAAATAAACAATCAGGTGTCTTTGCTCCCCCCCCCTCCCCCGCCCGCCCGCCCCCTTCTCCGTTTTAGGTTTAATTAAGAATTCCTCTGTTACAACACTGCAGTTGTCAAGGTCTGAGACTCTTGGAAAACTTGTGCTTCAGTCTTGCTGGCCCAGGCATAATAAAAAAAATACCCAGGCTGAATCTAATTTTTATGCTCAGTTCACGGTAGATTTCCCTCTATTCTCATGTAAACAGCTCCTACGAATCAACATATGTGTCTGGGTGGTATCTCTCACTTTGTTTTGTAACAAAAAGCCATATTGCATCATTTAATTTGCTCAAGTCATGCAAATAGGAAAAAATCAATAGGACAAAAAGGGGTCGACTTATCCTCCTCCGCACTAAACTGCTGCCCACACACGGAGTCCTGTTGCTTATGGCAAAAGAATAACAACAACACCATTGTGCTTGTTAGTTGGTTCACTAATGGGTGAAACTAGAGAACATCATTCTCTTTCAGTCCCCAGCTCTGTCCAAATGTTCATGCCTTTTGAGGGAGCATTTGTCCAACTCCCTCGATTCCCAGATGAGTGAGAACTGTCTTGGTGCAGGTTTTCAGCTGCGCCGCTCTTTATTCTTACCATATGCGGCAGTAGCCTGAGATTCAGAGAACAGATATTCCAGCATTTTATTCCAAACAATGTCATTAAGCTCCCGTGCTATAATTGAATTACATTACCGAAGAGCTACGTTCACCTCCTCGCCAGGGTTATACCGGGACCACCGCCCCCCCCGCCCCCACTCCTTCCACCAAGAACCGGGACCCAGAGAGAGAGAGAGAGAGAGAGAGAGAGAGAGAGAGAGAGAACGAGAACCAGCGAGGTTTAGAAATTTTTTGTCACTGAGTCTTCTGTGTGCGATGCAAACTAGGAGTTTACCAGTCCTATGCAGACGTTTGCAATACTGAACTCTTCCGGGAGCCTGAGGAATGAGAAGTTTGTTCTTAACTAAATAGACTGCGGGTGGCGGGAGAGGTGGCTGGGAGTTAGAAGCCTTAAGAGAAGTTATATAATTTTTTTTTTTGAGAAATAATCCTTAGGAAACACTCAGCCACGTTAGCTATCCGCATTCCTTTCCAACCTCCAACAAACCCCTACTCATTTGCAAAACGTGTCTGAATTAAACTTGGGGCAGTAGAGCCAGCCGTTCCATTACAAGTGGGTTAGAAACCAACAATACCCAAATTGTTCAAAGCAGAGATTTGACATAATTGTGTATTCGCATCCTTGACCTGTGTGTTAGTTCTCATATTTTTATGGGTTTTAGAACATGTTATTTTATAATAAATTTCAGTGTTTCTTCCCCCCACCCCCCAACCTTCCTGGCTTATAAGTTGGGGTCTTATCTCATGATGTGTGTATAGGAAAGACGGTGACTGATTTTAAAAGGTCTTTACTTTTTTAGTTTTTTTCTGTGGGGGAGGGAAGCCCCCTCTGGAACTTCATAGACTGTTGGAGTAGCCCCCCCCACCCCCATTCCAAAACTCCTGAGACTAAACAGATAATAGCAAACTAGGTAGGAATATTGAGGCTGTTGAAATGCTCAATTTAAATTAAGTCTCCAGACTTCCACATTTTCTTTAAACTCATGAGCTAGTGTTGAGTTCAGTTCTTGAGCCATGGTCATTATTCTGCATTTGGGTTTTCATTTGGAGGCATTATTTGCATCATTTTGTTGATTATAATTGCTGACCACCTTCACGAATAGGTACGGCTAACATTTCGGAAGTTCTAGGATGTGGGCAGTATTTTTGCCACACTTCTATACAACTAACTGAGAGGATCTAATTCCCATTAGCCAAATCGAATCAGAAGTCTGCTGAAACAGCCTGAATTTCTAAAACTTAACTTGGACCAACAGAGGAATAGAAGCCCTCTCTCTACCTTGGGTGGTTTCACAGCCAAATCTGTCAAGGAATGGGTGAAAAGTAATTGTTTTCAAGTGTGTCCTTTTACAATCATTTGTTTGCTCTGGCTCTTCCAGGGACAAAGGCTATTGTTGCACACATCCAACTAAACAAATAACTCATCCTGGGGTCCCTTTAACAGCTGCCTTAGTACAATGATCTATTTACATATTAGCCTAAAATTGAAACTGAACTCTTTAATGACATAATCCAGCGCCATAGAGCGGGAGAGCATGTGTTCTACCAACAGCTGATCAACCTTGTAGGCATCGAATTTTTAGAAATAACTTTGTTTTTGCGTTACTGAGTGATCCTAAGGCAACCTGTTAATATACTGTCATGCATTTCTCTCTCGTTGTGAGCTCATACAACCCTTGTGGGTACCTTTTTTTTTAATCCTGTTTAGTTTCTGGATAAATAAAAAGAGTTGCAGAAGGTCTCTGCCACCTTGCTTATGACAAATTGACTGATAGAGCTACAGTTAGTTGTAGGCCGTTCTTCCTCCCTTAGGGTGTACCTTCTCCAGACTTCTCTTGCTTGTGGCAAAAGATTAAAGGATGACCTGCTAGATATTGTGAATTAGTCAGCAAACCATCACTTCTAGGCCTGCTGTAACCAGGCGTGGAAGTTGCACCTGATTTCTAAAGTCTGGTGTTGAAACCACTGTAGTTGGAAGTTCTTGTGCGTAAAAATTGAAAGCAGGAAATTAGCTTCAATTTCTTCTGGAGATTGATGGCATCGTCACACGTAAAGTTAAGCGTTTGCATAGGCACAGACATAGAGGCACAAGAGAAGAAAGTACAGCCTGCACACGCCAGGACCCAGCTGTCTAAGGCAGTATTGCAGCTTGGGGCTGAGTCGGTTTAATTGACTTCAGGAAGACTATTGGTTCATTGAAACCAAAGCCAGAATGATAGCTCTATCTATCTTCAAATAGGTATTTACCCTGCAGACCTCACACAGAGCAAAATGTTACCGTGCGGCCGCTCCGGAACAGCATGCATCCTTACAAAAAAATAATACTATACTTGATTTCAGATCGTTTTTGAATCCTAGTTTTGAAACTTTTGATGAGCCATCTTGTGGCCAGGACACATTCCAAGAATTGTAAAAGACAAAATTCCTTAGGCACTAAAATCAAGTTCTCCTTGGATAGCAGCTGGCAGAGAATATAGAGGGGTCATTTTGTTTCAGCTATTTAAAAGGGAAAAAAATGGAAGCATGCAGATACTCCCTGTAAAACCAGAGGCAATTGCATTCCAGTTTCCCAGCCTGCTGAAGAGGTGGGTTTCGTATCCTACAATTGTTTTATTCTTGGTGGACTGCTCTGGAACAGTCAGGAAAACAAGAACAGTATTAATGTTGACCAGATCCATCAGATGCCAGAGGATGGATAATAAAAGACATTTAAAACATTATTGGTATATGTTTCCTTGAGAATCTTTTGGCCAGTTAAGCATAGGCACTTCAATAAATTGATACAAATCAAAATGCAGACATTGTCGTGATGAATAGGTTTTCTGAATATTGTAGACAGTTACAATGATGTGTGTATATATGCACATATGCATATATTCACATGTTTTTTGTGTAAATGCTGTATTTTTCCAAAGGTAAGATAACTTTTATTAGGTTTTAATTGCTGTGTGATAAAATTTAATATGCTTGTATGCACCTATTTCTGAGTTGCTTTACTTTATCAGATCCAAATTTTATCATTACCTAGAATGTCACTAGCTTTAAAAGAATAAATTCACACAGTTTGCCTTAATTGGGCATTATATGTTTGCATTGATAAGACTTAGGTTTTAAAATGCTCATCTCAATTCCTAGTTCAAGGGAAGTAATTGAATATTAATAAGGTCACATGAACTGAGAAAAGGTCAAAATTTGTTCCTATAAAAATACTATAAAGGTATTTTTTAATATGAGGATTCTGTGCTTGATTTAGATGGCACTACATTTTATGGCTCAAACATGCTAATAATTGTCTTATATGTGCATTAGTGGAGTGCCTAAGGTCTACTTTTTAACATTGGTTCTCTACACCAAGACCAATTCTATCTCCAAATTATTACCTTCATAATTCAGTAACTCCCAAATAAACCTTATTGAAATAAAATGCATCATTCTATACAAAGAATGATAAAAGCATACCTTTTCCATTAAAACTCACTAACTATGCTACAAAAGCACTTTTGTTAAACTCTCATGTTTATTCATACAGAGAGTATACCTGAAGAGCTAGTTAGAAAGTTTTTCCTGGCTCAGATGCAATGAATCATAAAAATAAGTCTTAGACCACTTTGATTCGGCTTCAGGTATCATTTTTATGGCATAGGAAAGGGAAAGTTGTTCTTCACGCGAGAAGAACATCATCTGTGCAATTTGTAGGTTGAAAATTCATCGAGCATTCTCGAACGTGATTCGGATCACATCTTTGAGACTCTTATGGTATGCGTTTTAGAAGTGTAAATGATTTTTGTTGAAGATGCAAACATAAAAGTCATAGTTTTCAAATTGGGGAGCTTAACACAGAGTTGGAAAACAAAATCCGCAATATTGCAAATCAACCATCAGTCGATATATACCTTGCATGGCAGAGTCAAGTGATCAAAAGTTAAAGAGTCTCATGTTCACACCGGCAAGACATAGAAATGGATTGCGTAAAAGTAGTATGATTTCTGACTGCGCACCCATACCCCAGAAATACCTCAGGTGTATTCATTGAGTCATTGTCTATGGGTGACATGGAAATCCTTTTATTGTGACCACTGCGAAATTACCATTTTCTGCTTCTCGGACATGGGGACCCAGACCCAAACTCAATCCCACTGACTGCATATGTGCTCAAAGGAACCGTGTTTCTTTTTCATGCTTCAGATCCTGTCTGTCACCAACAGCACGGAATGTGGGAAGTTACTGGAGGAGATCAAATGTGCGCTTTGCTCTCCCAATTCTCAGAGCCTCTTCCACTCACCTGACAGGGAAGTTCTGGAACGAGACTTAGTACTTCCCCTGCTCTGTAAGGATTATTGCAAAGAGTTCTTTTACACTTGCCGTGGCCATCTTCCAGGTAAAAAAAAAATTGCCTAAATTAAAGAAAATTTCAAAATAGCCTTTGATGATACCTGTGTTAAAATCCTGACTGAAAATGACTCTTTCCTTTTCAAATAATTGCCTTACCTTATCCATAACCTGTCCAAATGCGTAAACTCTGTTGCTGCTAACAGGGTTTCTGTCACTCCAACTCTCAAATGAATGGTTTATTGGTTTTGCTGAAAGGTTTTCATGTGGCTTGGTAAAAGGGTAAAACATTACCTTTACACATCTGGGATTATTTGTACAAATTTCTCTCTGGTGCTGCCTTGATTATCAGAAATCAGCAGTCTCTGATAGTCTCCTCTTTCTGCACAGTTGAGCTGTTAGAGAAATGGGCCATACTGAATTTGAAGGTATTTTGTGACATCAGGTATGATTGGAAATCTCAGAAAGGATACTCTGGATACAGCATCTTCATCTTTTATGATTAATTACCTTCTCAAAACCCTCTAATAGAGGAAGGAAACTAGACTCAATCTCTATTTGAGGGACAAGGAACCCAAGTTGTGGGACTGGAGAGACAGGACAAGCCAGTAGGGTGTTTGCCTTTCATGCAGCCAACCCAGATTCAATTCCCTGGGGTCCCGCATGATTTTTTCCCCCAAGCACTGCCAGGAGTAATTCCTGAATGCCAAGCCAGGAATAACCCCTGAGTATCATTGGGCATGGCCCAAAACCAAAAAAGCAGACAATAAAAGAAAACCCAAATTTAGCACTAAACAGCAAGAAGGATGGAGAATTTTTTAGATTGACAGTATGAAAAATTCCCCCCAATCACCATATCATTCCTTAGATATTCTTGGCCATAGAGTAATTTCCCCATCACAAGTTTGTAGGCTTTAGTTGGTATTGCTTTTCTTGGAAGACTCACTATCAAGGTAAAAAGTAATTTAAAAGACAGTTTCTGTTTAGTTAGGCCAAGTCACACACAGACTAAGCAAAGCTAACAGTTTGTCAAACTGAAGGTATTTAAGGATAAGACAAGAGCTCTGAGAACCCAAAGATGCCTTGGAGAATTTTCTAACTGACCCACATGTTTCACAAAGTACATTTTTCTGATCCAATAAAGTGCAGCTTTTGTGTGTGTGTGTGTGTGTGTGTGTGTGTGTGTGTGTGTTTTATGGAGTTCCTTTAATAACCTAAGCAAACATTTTGACTGGGGTCGGTCGCTTGCTTCCTTAGGTGTACTATAACATGTATAGAAATCCGTTCAATGGGAAAATATTATTATTGTCTCTATCAACTGCAGCTGTGTTTCAAAAGCTTTCCTTCAAGCCAACTATTTCTTCTCTTTAGCACATTCCCCGCAACCAAGCGTGAGAGGTCACAGTTGCCTCCATGGGCTGCAGAGAGAAGTATTAACAGATTGGGGATATTCAGGTTTGCAGCAAATCTCAAGTCTTCAAGACTTGCCTTGGCCACTGAGGTTGAAAGTGATTGGAACACTTCACTTCTCTTTTCGATCTACCCCTATCTGCCTGAGAAAGACACAACTTGACAAGCTCTAAGGACTCTACTGTGAGGGTCTTTCTATATTTGAAGTTATTTTAGCTACCCCAAACAAATCCACTCCACCCTCACCCCCAAAATGATATCCTGTGAGAGAGAGGACCCAGCAAGCAGCTCAGGGACTGAGATGCAAGCCCCTCGCTCCCCAGATCCACATAGGTGGTGACGAATGACAAATTTATTTTTCTACAAAGTTTGTATATATGTAAAACTGCTGAAGTGCATCAAGATGTCAAGTGCTTTGGGTGGCCACCCAGGCTGCCTTGAAAGATGACCAGATGAAAGCCCCACTCCAGGGCGGCAGGACAGCCGAGTGCCGGGCAGGGCTGGAGTCAGATGCTAATCGTCGGGCTAAATACTTATCCCCAAAGTGAGTTGTAATAACACTCTTCCCGTGATGTACGTGATCCAGTTTGTTAGCCTGATGGATTCTTGGCCCAGTGGTGGCCACCTTCTAAAGTATGATGAATAAGATGGGAGCCGGCCTCTCTGCCTTTGCCCCCAACAAGGAGGTGCTGCAGAGTTCCAGAACTCTCATGTTTCAGAAACCCTCAGCATTAATCAGTAGCGCATTCACCTTCAGCCTACTAAATGCCACAGCTTGCTTTTCTCTGATCTTCCTAAGTTAGTTTGAAAAGCAGTTGCTTTTTTTTTTTCTTTACGGGTCACACCCGGTGATGCACAGTTGTTACTCCTGGCTCATGCACTCAGGAATTGCTCCTGGTGGTTTTCGATGGATCCTGTGGGATGCTGGGAATCAAAGCCAGGTCTGCCTTGCGCAAGGCAGATGCCCTACCTGCTGTGCTATCACTCTAGCCCCAAGCCAATTGCTTTTTGAGTTCTTTGACAGTTAGAAACGGGTTCATATATTTTGGCCATCCTTGTGACTGTCCTCATCGTTCTACACGTCATAAACATGCAGCAGGGTCAGACAGCTATATCAGCGGGTCAGGAGCCTGCCTTGCATGTGACTGACTGGGTTTGATCCAAGGAACCCCATATGGTTCCCTGGGCCCCACCAGTAGTGATCCCTGCAAACAGATCCCGTAAGTCCTGAGCACTGCCAAGTATGGTGGATCCAACTCCCCACATCCCAAACAAACCAAAAAAACCAAGAGGAAAGCCTTCCTGTGGGTGTCTCTTGCTGGAAAGTGCTGGAAAATGCTGGAATGGTTGAAAGTAGAAGATAATTCCCAGGACCTCTCGTTGCCACCTGTCCCACCCCCAAGTTACCCAGGAGGCAAAGAACAAAACATATAAGCCAACTGTCCTTTCAGATTAATGTACACCTGAATGATAGTCTAACTTGCCAGCCACTCGCAACTCCGAAATGTTCATGACAGGCTTATTTGCCTCTAGGTGAGATATTAAGCAGCAATATAACAAAGGCACAGGAGTGTCACTACTCATGATCCACACTCATTATGAGTTTACTTCAGGAGGTAAGTGTTAGAAATTTCTCCAAGACCCAAATCACATTAAAAAGAAAAACGGCCCACCCCGACCCAACACCGTCAGCCTCTACTTGTTTTGGCCTTGAGGGTGCTGATGGAGTCGCTGCTGTGCCCTGTGTGAACACTGGCATGTCTTTGGCATAATAATTTTTCTCCCTCGGCCACCAGCCTCTCCTCAGCTCTAGGTTATTGTAGTGTGAAATGTCTGCATACAATTAGTTCAATTGGTTTAATCCCATTGGTAATGAGGCCAAGGTCAAGGGTTTGGTTCCACAGAGTTTCTCTAGTCCGTGGCCCCCCCTGACCCGCTCTCTATCTTACACATGTGTCTGATTAGACACCAGGAGAGCGGGCAATGGGGCTGAACGCACAAAGTCTGCTCCCTCGGCTAGAAATTGCTACCCAGAGCCCCTCCCCCGCCCCCCGCCCCCCGGCTCACTCACTCTCTTCCTTATTTCTTTTTTTTCCTTTCCGTGCTGCTAATGAGGACAGGTGCGCTTCCATTTGTAGACTGGCTTGGGGATCGCTTAGAGCTTGGACTGCTCCACAGAGAAGATGTGTTTGCATACGAGTATTTTATAGGGCACTTTGTGGAATGGTAGGATTGGGCTGAGAATGCAAAATAGTTACACACCCAGGATGCTGGATGAATTTCCAGGAATATTTTGCTTTCTTTTTTTAATTTTTTTATATTTTAGCTTTTTATTTCTTTTCTTTAAATATATTTTTTAATGAATCACCATGAGATACAGTTACAGACTTACAAACTTTTGTGATTACATTTCAGTCATATAATGATCGAGTACCCATTCTTCTACCAGTGCCCATTCTCCACCACCGATGCTCCCAGTATTCCACCCGCCAACCCTCCCCCCCCCCCACCCATGCTTGCGACCCTGGCAGGCACATTCCCTTTTACTCTCTCTCCCATTTTGGGTGTTCTGGTTTGCAATACAGTTACTAAGTGGCCATCCTGTTTGGTCTGTAGTCTACTTTCAGCACGTATCTCCCATCCCGAGCGAGCCCTCCAAGCATCATTCACTTAATGGTCCCTTCTCTATCCCACCTACCTTTGACCCCCCAGCATGTGAGGCCAATTTCCAAGTCATGGAGAGATCCTCAGGAGACTTTAAAAAGAAATAATAAGCCAACGAAGCTGCCTTCTTTCTGTCATGCTTGAGATTTGATTTAGCATGATGATCCTGAAGGTGTGAGGCCCTTCCGGGGGCTTCTCCCTAGCAGAAGGAAGGCTGCCTTTGGGAAGGTGGCCTGAATCTGAGATTCCTTAGCTCTTAGGGAAAAAAAAAGACAATCTTGGTCATCATTGTTCACAAAACTGGACCCTTCTAGTGCAGACTATTCATAAAAGTATTTGTTTGCGGGCTTTCTTTTGAATTTTTGCAGTGTTGGGGTAGAACTCACGGTCTCACACTGCTGAGACACATCCCTAATCTTGTGTGAAAGTCCTGTGAGCTACTTCTGAACAGATAATTCAGTCCACAGGAGTCTTAATTTTATTTTTTAAGCTAGATGTAAGTTGTTACAGATTGAGTATTTTAAAAATAATTTGGAGCCTCCAAGGTACTATTCAGGAAGTTGGAGGTTACATCCCGGCCCTCTCCGCCAGCCAGACTGGTGGTCCAGTAGAAGACTTGAGGATGCAGACCTACTCGTTCTGTGAGGCTAGGGGCTCCCAGGGCTGCCCCAGTGATGCTCAGAGCCTCCAAGGATATCCCAGAGGTTCTCAGGGACCTGCAGAAAGAACTTCATCACACAATGTTTAGGGCACAATGGGCTGCTGGGAATTCAAGTCAGGTTGGCTGCATGCATGTGCTTTAATGCCTGTGTTATCACTGCTCTGGTTTTTGTGTGGTTGATTTGAGGGCCTTATCCAGAGGTGCACAGGGCTCACTCCTGGCTCTGTGCTCAGGGATCACTCCTGGTAGAACACTGGGAATCACATGTGGTGCTGGGAGGCGCCAACATGGGCTGGCTGCAGTCAAGGCAAGAACCTCACTTACCAATCTCTCTCTCTCTCTGGCCCCACAAGGTATAATTTTAAAGCTAGCAGAGTCTCGTACCTCTGGAGTCACAGGGTTCAGGAGTCTGTCCTCATTAGCCTTCAGATGTTCCATTTGAAAATGATTTCCCATTTCCTCGTGTTTGCCCCCAGCGCATACAACCCTTCACAAAATGGAATCAGCCACGAGTATTGTTCATTAATTTCCTATTAAGATGGGATTGGTTTGCAGACTGCAATGCTGGAATAGTGATTACTTTTTTGGAAGAAAAAAAAAATAAACCCTCTCAATGTTTTCTGAATTGCCCTTTAAAATGTGTTTGTGACACCCCCTTCCCCACCAGCCCCACCTCACCCATCCCTCTCCGCCCCAGGCACACATCATATTGAAGCAAAATTTCTCATTTGCACATTCAGTTATAAATAGAAGCGTAGTAGGGCAACCTTGTTGAATGCATATTAGCAGAGAGCGTGCTGCCTCGGGGGTAAATAGAGAAATTTAGGTACGTATATATTTATATATATTCTCCTGAGAAATCTCAGCCAAAAAAGTGTGAAAAGTTTAATTTAGCAGCATTTCTGCTTTTTAACCTCAAACCAACTTGTTTCACACGTCTAGGTACTTTTTAGCAGTCCCCTGAACCATGGAAAATGGAGGCCAGAGGTCTCTTTTGCAGACAGAGGATTGTAGAAGATGCAGAAATAGGGCTGCGGCCTCAGTCCTCCTCCCCTCCCACCCCCCAACCCTTCGACTTCTAATCCCTGACATTTTTCAGAGTCTCCTTTGGGCTGTCCAGGAAGCATCCTTCCTGGCTTGCATGCCACCTTGCCTTGCCCAGCTCCAAGATACTCACTCTCACTTGCCTCCTTGAAAGGCAAGTTCCGCCAGAGACTGGTATGACATTGCCTTGAAAAATCTGGTACAGAAATGTCGGTGTGATACATTTCCCCCCAAAGTTTGATGGCAATATAGGTCAAGTCTGAACCATTTGGATCTCTTGGCAAAGCTACCAAGTACTTATGAACTGATCGAGGTACAGTTTCCATGGTTTGTCAGGTAACAGCTTACCTGATCAGGACCAAAAATGTTGAACCCAGTTAAAAGTTGTGAGACCAGAGGCAGGCATTGGGGGTATCATACAGGGGCCATTTTTGGAGAGCAGAAATCATCTACATACTTAAAGCAAACGAATTTTACTAATGCACGCTTCCCCCGACCACCATCAACAACATTACGTTCTAACTAATAACCCAAGTTGAAATCGCAATGTCAAAATTTCTATTTGTCAAAAAGTCCTCTTTCTTAGAGTCAAATCATGCTCTTTCATTTGATTAAAATTCCCTTTGTCTAAAGAAAATAAAACTTTTCTTCTGTTTTCCTTTAAGTGAGTCTAACTTGCTCTTTTGTTTTGGCTAGTGTAACTTTTTTTTCTCAGTGAGGTGTGGTGAGTGTATCAACTATTATGGTTGAGAAAAGATACAAGTATTTTATACTTTAAAATTTTATTTAGGTTGGGGCCAGAGTGATAGTGCAGTGGGCAGGGCACTCGCCTTGCACATGGCTGACCCAGGTTTGGTCCTTGGCATCCCATATACCACTGGGCGCTATTCCTGAGTGTGAAAACCAGGAGTGACCCCTGAGCCTTACCTGGTTTGGCCCAAAACCAAAAAGAAAAAAAAAGAAATATCTTCATTATTATTTAACTCTTAATGTAATTTATTAAATTCTGCCTAAAAACACATGGAAATCCCAAACCAAACAACTTGTATTCCTTTCCACGTATTTTTACCTGTTTCATTTCCTAGAATATTTCTATAATTTCTAAGCATTTGTTTCTCATGCCTTATCTTTCAAGTTTGGTATTTTTACTGTTACACTAAGTATTTCTAATGAATCTTTCTACATTTTTATTTTTAATTTTAAAGGTTTCCTTCAAACAACTGCTGATGAGTTTTGCTTTTACTATGCAAGAAAAGATGGTGGGTTATGCTTTCCAGATTTTCCAAGGAAGCAAATCAGAGGACCAGCGTCTAACTACTTGGACCAGATGGAAGAATATGACAAAGTGGAAGAGATTAGCAGGTTCATAAAGATAAATGCTCTCTAACCTTTAAAAAAATATGTAAAGCCAACTGACCACTTTGTGGCTTTGACATTGAATGAACTGTTTGTGGTTATATCTAAGGTGGCTCTGTCCTTCAAGTGCTTTGTGGTAGTTTGTTTCTTTAAAATCACATTATCCTGGGGCTGGAGTGATAGCACAGTGGATAGGCATTTGCCTTGCACACGGCCAACCTGGGTTCGATTCCCAGCATCTCATATGGTCCCCCCGAGCACTGCCAGGAGTGATTCCTGAGTCCAGAACCAGGAGTAACTCTTGAGCATCGCCAGGTGTGACCCAAAAAGAAAAAAATCACATTATCCTAAATGCTTTAAATGCTTAGATTACTAATCTTCTGTTATGAGCGTGGCTTCTCTATGATTCATGAGAATTTTATGAATATAGCTTGAAAGTTAAATTTTACAATTGCTCTTCACTTTACACTGCCCTGGAAAGAGTCAGCACAATTATTATTATCAAATTAGAGTCATAGCACATCTTAGAACTTTCTCCCTGAGTGGCTTTCCATCAGGATTAATGATTGTGAGTAAAGCTCATTTTAATGTTGGAAAAAGGGCAGATGAGAGTTAGAACATTTCAAAATGCATTTGCATTTGGATTCTTCGGTTTTCTGAATGAAGTCAGTTTTGTTGACTTCCATGCCAAGAGGTTCAGAGAATTGTATTGTGATCTGGGATTGACTAAGGGCTAGTTATTGATTCCTAGAAGAAAATAATCACCTTGAAATGGGATGCATAGGGCATCCTTCTCTTCTTCATTTTCAGGGAAGCTCACTGGCTTTCTTTCATTTGTTTAGAAAGCACAAACACAACTGCTTCTGTCTTCAGGAGGTGGTGAGTGGACTTCGTCAGCCAGTTGGTGCCCTCCACAGTGGGGATGGCTCCCAGCGGCTCTTCATTCTGGAAAAGGAAGGTTACGTGAAGATTCTTAGCCCCGAAGGAGAAATTTTCAAGGAGCCTTATTTGGACATTCACAAACTTGTGCAGAGTGGAATAAAGGTTGGCTTTTTACATTTTCTTTATCTTTGCTCTGCCTATGTTACTTCTGTTTTCATGTTACCCTCACTGAAACGATTTCTTTGTAATAAAAGAATATTTGAGGAGAATGTAAGGAGACAAGAATCATTTTGGCAGCCAAACGGGAACAAGATCGTAAAACTTTTCATGTTATTTGGTGACTCTGAGTGCAGTCATGCCTATATATTTGACATGCTTTGCCATATGTAAATGACATATTATCATAATACTTCATTTTATAAGGAATGTTCTTAATAGGAGTACTATTTAGAATTGTATATTAGCATCTGCTGGTAGAAACAGACTTTTGGTTGTTTTGGCAATTGCAAATCATTCTCTTACTGCTTTGTTTTTTGATTCAGTCGTTTAAAAAACTCCTTAGAATGTGCCTTATCTTATCCAATGTTTCTAAGGTAAGTTGAGTTCTGATATCTGCAGCTAATCCTTTTTATGCAATATAAGTGCATCTCTTGCTTTGTTTTTCACTTTTTTCCCAATTTGAATGATCTTGTTAAACAATCTAACAGGTATGTAAATAAAACATTCAGCTTTATTTCACAGGAGCAAGGTCATGAGTTGTGCTGGGCAAACTGAGGCATTTATAATTCAGGCACATTGAACAGCTCGTGGGTTTTCTAGAATAAAACAAAGCAACAGTATGAGTTGGGAAGAACCAGTTATTGTTTTCCCTTAACTGAAAAGAAATTGAAGACGGGTTGATACTCTTCCATGCATATAGAAATGTTTCCTAGCTCTCTTCCTTGTGTACATCAAAATTATACATATTAACTGTATGTAACCTAGTAAAAAACTGTATGTAACCTAGTAAAAAACTGTATGTAACCTAGTAAACTATAGTAATAATAATGGAAAAAATATCAAAGCAGAAGAAATAAGTCAGAGACAGATCGCTCCCAGATAAATTTTCACAACTATATAGGGATCAAATCTGGGTTGGCTGCATGCAAGGCAAGCACCCTACCCATTGACCCATTGTCCTATTGTTTCAGCCCCCTGGGATGCAATAATTTAGAACCCAGAGAATGATAAGGTGTGGGACCACCCAGACCCAAGTTCATGTTCTGATTGTGACAGTATCACCAGAACATGTTACATTAATGAAGGACTTTTCAGGACTTTTCTAAAGGAAAGGAATTTGGCACCCACACACAGATCATTTGGAAAAAAATGGTGTAGGTCAACAACTATAATTTTCTCCTAATACAATTTTTATTATAATTCAAAGAAATTGTTAAAATTCTTCTAAAATGAAGCAGAAGTGTTTTTCACTTCATATTTTAATAAACATATTCTGAACCAGTGAGAGCAAAGTAGCAAGGCCCCTGCGTTTTGTACAACTGATCCTGGTTTAATCTCTGGTGCTGTCTGTGGTCCCCAACAAACACTGGATTAATTCATTATTTCATTCTGATAACTCAGTGCTGGTGAAACCTCACAGGATGCATAACTTGCAAGTTATATATTGTTCTTACTGGAAAAGCAAAGCATGCTTGCTTAGCAGAGTTTAGGGAACATATTTGAAAAAGCGTGACCTACAAATTCATCAGTTAGCATTATTACTCTCAGCATTTTATATATTAAAATGTTTTTATATTAAAATTAAGGATTTTCTTTCTGACTCCAAAGGTAATGAGATTTAAGATTAATAAATGTGGAAACACAAGAACACATTTTCTTATAGCTTTTATTCCTTAGCAGCTTTAAAGTAAAATTGAAATCAAACCATATATACATTTTTTAGTTTTCTTTTTCACTTAAGTAGTGTCATAAGCTTGTTCCTAGGTTTTTAACATTTTTGTAAGACTTTATTTTCTCTTTTCTCTTTGGGTGTGTATTCCATTTCTTATGAGACATTTAACATGGTTTCAGTGTTAACTTTTTACCATTGTAAATTATGTCATTTACCATTTTGGATGTATTGTTTAATCTACTCATGAATGCTTTCCTTCATAGTCATTCATAGAAAAAATATTAATGATGAAGGACATAGGTCATATTTAACATTGCGAATTTCCTCTGAAATTACTTTCAATGATATTTCAAACATGTTTTGAGTTAAAATGTTGGTATTAAAAGGACACACATAAGATGAAGGTGTATAGATGGCTAAGAAATGGAGACATGAGTTTTTGTTGTTGTTGTTTCATTGCTAATTTTAGTGCCTGGAGAATGTCTTCCTTTGAATTGGGGTCATTTCAGAGAGCAGAACAAGACACCCCACGTAGCAATCAGTTTTTCTTTATGTCCATTCTTGGGCAGTCTGAATGAAAGTTTATCTTCTCTGAGACATTGTATTCTGTTCATTAAAAAAAGTCCCAGGTCTGTTGTGATAGACCATGCTATTGGTCGGCAGGGTGTGGGTTCTGCTGGCCTGCAGGAAGGAATTTTCCAGAACTCTCATTGGCCTTTCTTTTGTAGAAGAGTTCTGGGGTCTGGAGTCAAACCCTCAGTGTTCACAGCCTTTGGCCTATAGTAAAAACTTGCCATGTGCTTCCTTTAGTCCTCAGCCCTAGATGTTAGTGAGATTGGATCCTTCACATGGGTCATTGCGTGTGGACTGAGTAGAGTACCTGGACCACACTCTTACCACTGCTACCATGGCCTCTAGCCAAGTTTCCATGGAATGTGTCACAGGTCACCACCTGGAAGACAAAAGTGGCGTCTGTTGCTAAGAGGAGGCAGATGTCCACACATCCATGACCTGATCCTATTATTGATGTTTTTCAGACTTCTTCAGATTTCTGAAATGAAAACATTTCATAGTCTTTTTTTTTTCAGGCTTCTTGACTAGTGAGGGTGTTCAGGGCATTGTCTGTTTATTAAGGATCATCTTGCATGAATAATGCAAATAGGGAGATCATAAATAATTATGTATATCACTTCTAGTCTTTCCATTTGAATATCTGAAGAGAGGGCAGAAAGCTTTTTTCAGCTAACTAAGGTACTGGTTGGATGTCTCCCATGGCTGATTAATAATGTATACTAAACCCAAATGTCATACGTGTAAATGGAAGCCAACACAGTGCAGACACCCCACGCAGCAATTAATGGCCTGTATGAGTATGCTAAGAGAAACATAAAGAGGAATTCCTGATTATAAGCATTTCTAAAAAATCTAGTGTTGGCACTGAGGGATCTGGAATTCCTTTTCTGCTAATTTTCAGTTAAGAATTAATAGTCGTGGTAAGGGACTGGCCTTTTTTGTGGCATGAAACTGGACACGGTGAATCTCTTTTTAAACTCCGACTGGCTCTAATTCCTATAACTGCAGCAAACGGCCATCATTCAGGAAACCTGAATTATTCTTTTCTAAATGGGTCCCAACTGAAGCTAAAAATGCAATATCTTGTTTTTAAACATCCAGATTGTGATACCTATATTTGTAGATTTTAGCACCTTGTGAATGTAACTATGTTTTACCAAGCAAAAGTTATATGCAGAACAGCCCAAATGCAGTCAGTTCTTGGACTGATTTCATTCTGCTAAATAAAATACATTGTGGACTTGGATTTAAGGGACTAAATTCAGTGCCATGTGAATTTAAGTTGCCTTTGCAAGTGGAAGAGAAGCTTCCATTCACAGCAATCCCAGAAGATTGAGCTTAGTAAAAGGGCAAGTGAAAATGTGAATCAGAAATATGTTTTTAAGTTATGTAGTAATTTGGTAGATTATTGGTGATGGTGCATGGTGCCAGTAAAACATCAATATTGTCACTATGAAAAATGGCCTGACCTACCAGTTGGTTAATAAACTATATAAAGGTGTGTGTGTGTGTGTGTGTGTGTGTGTACATGAACCTGCGGTATTTATTCTAGTGTTCATTTATCCTTAGTTTATCTAGTGGTGGTGGGGGTCTTTTCTAAGGTACTGGTGATTTTAATCTTTGAATTTAGTTTTTATCAGAATTCTGAACAAACTTCAGGCAAGGACTCAAAGCAGCTTCAGCTGTCTGAATTTCTATTTTGGAGGGGATAAGAGGGAATGAGTTTGGACCACACCAGAGCTTATTTCTGGAACTGTGACAATTTTTTCTCTTGGCGATTAATAATAATTGACTAATTCTTCTACCCAGTGTTTATCAGTTTTTAACCTGGTTTTGGTCTTTTTGGTCATCTCAGACTCAGCCGGTTGACCCAATTATTATCATTTTTTCCTGCAGTATTGCTAGGTCATTTGTTCTTCTAAACTTTTCCTTGATTACCTAAAATCTAAATCTTCACTTTGGAGGGGTTTGGGGAGGATATAGCCTTAACCACGGAAGCTGCATCTACCACCTTGGGAAGGCTCCCCAGGAAAAACACAACTCCAGTCTTCTCCACTGTCCAGATGTCATGTGTAGACCATCTCAGAGCCTCTTGCTTCCCTAGTCGTTGAGCCCATTGAGGTGGGGCTTTTGAGAGACATGGGTCCCAGCATCCCAGAACATTTGGAGGGAGAAGCAAGATATACTGAAACAAGCCTCAATGGAAAACCTCCAAAATTGCATGTTTTCCAATCAATCACATGCATCGTTCTGAGCATGAAAACATTATGAGCTGGACATCCAAGGGCTCATCAGTCTGATGGGATTGATAGGCAGTTTCTTCTCAATTTGTTCAAAGTCTAACCTGTCACATTTTCTTGTCTTTGCTTTGCATTTTATGTTTACCTATGCAGGTGTCCTAATGCCTTCCTTTTGACTTTTGCTACCCTATTGCTAAAGCCAGTTTAAGAAATGCAAGTGTATCTTTGGTGGTAATTTTGCCTTTATATTTGTCTGAGACTTGACAGGCAGAAACAGTACCTCTAAGCCTCAAGAGAAAAACCAAGGCATCTTGACTCGGAAGGATGTCCCTGCTCCCTTTGGCAGTTCTCTCTCACCATTCCTAACCAGAAAGAGAAGATAGGCCTGTGGACAATGCTTTCTCACGGACTTTATTATCTAGTGGAAAGAGGAGGGCTGGCACCAAAGCTGCCTCCAA